TACAAGTGTTTATAAACAGATAACCCTGGAACAGTTTTTCCATGATGACAGTCATATTGACATTATAGCATACAAGTGTTTATAAACACATAACCACTGTCTCATCGACACAATAGCACAGAATTGTTTGTAAACACGTAATTCTGGTATAGATGTTTTGTAAGAATGGTAATACATTGTAGCATAGCAGTCTCCATAAGCACATAACCCTGCAACATGGTCACTAAGAACATCCTATTAAACACCTTGAAGTACAGTTCTCAAGTCAACATAAACTGGTTACTGAACAGTCTTGGTTACAACAATGTTCCTACACACAGTATGGGATTACTTATCCATCATGGCAGCAGCACAGTGAAGTAAACACCTGAATACTTATCCATCATGGCAGCAGCACAGTGAAGTAAACACTTGAACACTTATCCATCATGGCAGCAGCGCAGTGAAGTAAACACTTGAACACTTATCCGTCATGGCAGCAGCGCAGTGAAGTAAACACGTGAACACTTATCCGTCATGGCAGCAGCACAGTGAAGTAAACACCTTAACACATATATCAGAAATGCAGCAGTTGTATAAAAGTTTGCATTCCAAAGGTTAAAAATAGTCATAATTTTAAAAAGTCTTGCGTATCTAAGAGATGAAATATCATTGATATGGCATCACCATGACAACTGTCTTCATGCAAATATACACAATGTTGACAGTTAAATATTTACAATATGACACAACACCGACAGTATCGTTGACGACCACCGCCAACTGATGGTGGTGGTGTGACTGGTGCAAAATAGGCATGTACTTTGATGTCTGGCAGCTGGGTCTGAAAGAAGAAAAATATACAAAGTCAGGAAAGAAGAGACTCTCTTTCTAGTGTTTAGGGTACCTTAGAGTCTGTAAACAGAAACCACTCAAATCAATAAGTTATAGATGGACTGTAATTAAATATTCATTTGACAAAAAGATGAATGCATTACATTTTTTATTTATTTATCTCAAAAAGATATAGATAGATTTCATGAAGTCTGTCCCTTGAAACAAGTATCAATCACTTGCAGCTTGGTTGAAATCCTGATATTGTTGCCATGGAAATAAAAAATTTCTCAATGATTATTCACCCCCATTTTATGAGGGTTAAATCAAGAGATAACATTTTAGAAGAGCTCTAGATCCAGTTGCTATGGAGATTTACAAAGATTCTTCACTATTGTTGTTTTTCATTTTCATATTCAGACAATATCAACACAATAGAATAGGGGTAGTAGTGAGAATAAACATGCACCTGAGGAAAGGGTTTGCTCCATCAGAGAACCTTTATTTCGTTTTTTTGATGATATTATTGACTCAAAATAGCAGAGAAGAAAGAAAATAACTCACTCGTAATCTTCTAATGCCAGCTCTTGTAATCAACTGACAATCATAAAGTTCAATACGAAGTAAACACTGACATCCCATCAAGTGTTCTAATGATGCATCTGTTATCAAAGGACAATTGTCTAATTCTATGACTTGAAGGTGTTCTGTTGCACATGCACTGGTTCCTAAATGACGGATTCCTTCATCTGTTATTAACTCACAGTGTGATAAACTCTAAAAAAATAATAATAATAATAT